TGATGTGAAGGGTCCAAAGTAGTTCCGTCGGTTCCTGCCCTGCAGTGTCTAAAGACATCCTTCCCCTTTGGTGAAGGAACATGGTGGCGATATCAGTGGACATCAATACAGCTTCCACTTGTGTGTGTTCTCATTCCTCTTTCTACGGCAGTCTGGGATCTATGGGAGGTCAAGTCTGGCTGGTATTAGAGGTGTAAAATAAGACAGTATCAGAGTCAGGGAATGGGCTGACAAGGGCTGAGGAAGTCACTTGAGGAGACAGTGGATTTAACTTGGAATGTTTCGTTTGTGTGTCTGCTGGAGCCTGTCCTACCTCCACACGGCAGCACCACAGCAATAGCCTCTTTGTTTATAGAGGACACAGGCTGCAGAAGTGCTTATTGCCACTGGAAACGATCAAACATTCCTTGCTCACTGGCCCCTTTGCAACGCCAGAACTCTAAGTAATTAATTGATTAAAAAAAACTTACAGTGTTCATTTCTTCCATTGATCACTATGTACCCAATGGATTGCCTGACAATATTTTTAACAAGTCCATTTGACCATTACAATTTTGCCTCCTTAGTTGCTAACAAAATAAACAGAGAAAAACAAGGTGTTTAAGTATAAGCTTCAATCATTAAGGCAAAGAAAAATCTATTAAAATCATATTCTTTTCCTTAACTCATTGAAATAGCTTTAGTTTCCAAAGGTGTTATAAGAAACAAAGGTAGCAATTATTTTATAAGGAGAACATCTCTCCCTAGATAATGGTTTGATTTTTAATCATGAGCTAGAAATACTTCATTACCTTTGTCTTTACTTCTAGGAGGTATCCTTGAGGGAAAATGATTAACATGTCAGTCTAAATTTACATCCTTCCACCCTAGTGAGTTTATATGTTGGTCTAAAGTGAGACATAGGGCACCTACAGTTGTATATTCAAGAGAGACATTCAATGCATAAATTCTCTAAACACAAGCTCTTGCTTCTGCTTTGTGCAGCCTGCCTTATGTGAAAACTTATAGACTACATGTAGACAGTGCTGGAGAACTGAAATGTCCTTGTGAGGCATAGAGGAGCATATATTCTGTGGTTCGAATAGGAAATTTCTCCCAGAGGTTCAAGTTGCCTGCACACTGGCCCAGCTGAGGGTGCTGTTAGGGAAGGTTGCAGAGCCTTAGGATTTGGAGTCTCACAGAGGAAGTGAGGTCTTAAAGCCAGGCCCCACTTCCGGTTTACTGTTTCCCATTCCTGCTGCCATGCTTTCCCTGTCAAACTTTAGGTCAAAATGAACTCACCTCCCTTGTGCTGCCTTTATCAGCTATTCTGTCAAAGCCATGAGAAACATAAGTAATACGTCCTGAAGATGATACAAACAGATACCAATGAAGATCATCCTGGGGTTCCTGGGCTATTACTGAATTGTTTCTCCCCAAAATGCATGTTGAAATCTCACAGACCAGTTAGTTTAGGTGAGGTCATAATGGAGGGGGACATCCTTCTGGAAGGGACTATGACAGGAGACAAGGAGAGACTAGGAAAGTCGGTGATTGCTGCTGGCCACATGCTCGTCCAAGGCAAAGGACTCGACTGTCAGTAACGGGAGAGCACGACTGTGGCAACCCCGAGATTGGATCTGTACCTTTACAAGTGTGAGACAACAGACTTCTGTCTTCGACACCCACTTTGCTATCCTGTTTTAACACTCTCGGATGCAAATACCCAGGGTCTGAGCAATGTGTACAGAAGCGATTAAAAAAAAATCATCTGAGCAATTTGTGAAGTGTTAACAACAACAACAAAAACCCTCACGAGGACGGGATAAAAAGGGGAGATTAAAAGTGGGGTGAGGACCACTCTGCTGGATTCGATTTCTATGGAATGACCACAGCAGACACATGGAGCTGCCGTCTGTTTGGAGAACTCCCCATCAGGGCACTGGAATTTCACTGTTACAAGCAGATGGTCAATCATCTTTGGAGAGGCAGAAATGAAGCCGCTTTCACGAAGACGCGTGAGTCAGCTACCGGTTCCCTCTGACGGGGATGAGCTCTGGGCCACCACAGAAGCTAAAGTCAGAAAGAAAAAGGGGCCGGGGGAGGCCAAGATTAGAACTTTAAATCTACGGAGACTCAGTGAATGTAGGAATGGAGCCTGTCTTGTTCACAAGCATGCATTAATAGCACACCTAAAAGGATTTGTTACACCATCTTTGTACACGTATGTAACTTGCATTGATCACGCTCACCTTTTCCCCAGTGCTAGGAATCAAAGCCAGGGCTTTTGAAGATGCTAAGCAAGATTCCACCACTAAGTTAGGTCCCCAGGCCTTTGTGTGTTTGTTATTATACCTCCATGTGCCTGAATGCCTTCTTTCTACGAGCATACAACACGATTTGATACTTCTCAACCCGATAAAGTCAACTTCATCTTTCCGGGTCTAATTAGCAGATCCTGTCTCTGGAAGGCCTCATCAACACCTCCCTCAGCTCTTCTTCCGTGTTTCATCTCTAAATAGCATTGACTCAGGCTTTGAGTCTCAGGGATCTAATGGTGGGCTCCCACTTGTCAAATTCTGTAGGTAGAGACTGCATCCTTAGTCTCTCCTCTTCTCTCTTAGATAGCCATTCCCCAAGTACATCACAACACCAGCACGGGGAGCTCTCAGAGAACGCAGCAGAAGGGCCCGGTCTCATCCCAACACCAGAAACATGAATCAAGCGCAGGTCACAAGTTCCGTGACCTCAGTGCAGAGACAGAACCTAAGTCGCAGGTCCTCACCCACTTATTAAACCCGCTTCACAGATTTGTCCTGAGAAAAATATATGTGGGATACACAGCATAAAGCCTAGAATAGAGCTAGCAAAGGTTAGTATTATTTATTATGATTAAATTAGTAACTGACCAAATGAGACTCTGAGACATTAAAAAAGCTAACAGCTGCTTCTACAGCTTGGCCTATCAAAGTTAATTTTCACCCAACTTGTGGTGAACTGATCTCAGCTCCAGCATGACCCTTACCTCAGGTTTCCAGGTTTCAGGAAGGAACCACTCCCAGCATCCTGAGTCACAGAAGTGTATCCCAGGCAAAAAGCCACTTCAGGGCTTGGATTGGAAGGGACGTAGGGTCAGGCTGTGGGAAAGGCTATCCAGACCCTATTCCTTTTACTTTTGCTTAAAGCCATTGAGGTACTCTGTTTAGTATTATCTTGAGTTCCAAATTTAACAAGAAAACAAATAAGAACTCTAAGGAGTCAATGTTGTATTGAATTGATGACATAACTTTCTGCCACACTGGGCTAAGCAGCATTCCAAAGCATGGCAACAGAACCCCAAGACAGATGCTGGGCCACATGTGGTTATTGACTGTGCCCTAAGAAGTTATCTCAGGCTCTTGGAGACATGGCGCTACCTTCCTTGACAAGCAAGTCTCTGGGTAGCTGGCTGGTTGACTTTGAGCTCTGATTAAATAAAAAACTGTCATATCCTTCTTCACCAGTCAGTTTTCTCAGGGGTAACTTAACTTACCCTTGATGAAAGGAAAGACTGTCCACTGTGCTCCAGGTGACCCTGAAATGTCGCTCAGATCTTAACTTGGCATCCCATTAGGAATGTAACTTTAAATACAAACTATTGTGCGACTGTGGTTCTTTTTTTTATCTATTTTTCATTCCTTTTTATTCTTTTTATTAGTGGAATATGGACAATGATACTCGAATCATGAAATCACTTTATTTTTCTCCCAGATTACTGTATTTTAAAGGTACTTGCTGGGACCCATAACGGCTTTTCAACAGGAAATAGTTCAATGAAATAAAAAATAGAAACCTCTACTGACAGTCTATGAATAATCACCTTAACTGTATGAAACACTAAATTAACAGAGTTAGGACCAGTGTGAACATAATGAATGATCTTTAGGTGACACTATTCAAACCATGATAGTTATTTAGCAAGAAAATCCCTTAGGCCTCAGTAGCTTGTCATTTTTAGAAAAGACCTGCACTGGGCAGTGGTGGCGCACACCTTTAATCCCAGCACTCGGGAGGCAGAGCCAGGCGGATCTCTGTGAGTTTGAGGCCAGCCTGGTCTACAGAGCAAGATCCAGGACAGGCACCAAAACTATACAAAGAAACCCTATCTCGAAAAAACCAGAAAAAAAAAACAAAGAAAAAGAAAACACCTGCAAAACCACCTACATTATACAGCACCCAGGAAACGTAATTCTGGATACGAGGGGTGTATGTGTGTGTATGTGTGTGTCTGTCTGTCTGTCTGCACATCCAGGGCAGGGCAGGGGTGCAGGTGACTGCCAAGCAGTGCTGTCTGGCTCCGAAGGGCCACACTGACTTCCTGAGGCCTCAGCAGCCCCACACCTTTGCTCTTCTCCCCTGTTTCCTGTCCTAGCTTTTCAGAGACTCTGGAGCACCATACCTTTAGTGGACGGTCAGCAGGCACAGGACAGGCTCAAGTTCAGTTGTGCATAAAACCAAAGGTCAAATGTTATCTTGTATGTAACACTTACCCAAGTGTAGCAATGAAAACACATCTGAGGTCATGGGAGACATCGTCCATCGTGTATATAATAAAATGCATTCCTCCATTCAGTTGTATTGGATTTCTGCCCCCTTGCTGTATGCTTAGAAAAATAAAAGACAAATGTACCCTACTTGAAACTAGAAAAAAGTTTTTCTTTAAATTTCAAATTTTAGGATTTTTATTTACGAAACGGATTGATTCTTGTTTTATACAAATTAAAAAATCTGAACTCTTAAAAATAGAGCTAACTTCCCGCACCCTTGAGATGGACTTCTAAGCAGCCCAGGGAGTTAGAAGTTGGTGCTTTCCTTCTTCCTCAGTCCTGGTCAGGCAGCACATGCCACAGCAGTGTCTTCAGGTCACACAGCTGAGCTGAGGGTGGCCAAAGGTCTATCAGGTCAGGGTCTGAAGGAGCAAGATCTTCTCATTAATGCAGAAGCGATGCAGGACCACCATCAGGTTCTCACCACAGCGGGAGACCTGGCGCTCCATGGCCAGGCGGAAGTCCTCCTTCACGCCTTTGGTGATGCCACGAGTGACTGTGTGGTGCCTGAGGTCAGCGAGAGGGAAACAGAGAGAGACCACGGTCAGAAGCAGCAGCGCGGCCTTCTGTCACCGGGGCAGGGATCAACCCGCCTCACAGCTAAGTGCAGTCACACATTTAAACCACATTTAAAAAGAGAAGCTGCAGCCAGATAACCACTCCTGTCCATTCTTCTCAGGCTCAACACTACGCAGATATCTTTCCTGCCCTAGACTGGGTCATTTTACACAGCCAATCGTCGGTGAAATGTCACCTGCTTCACCTCTGAACTCATGAAGCTCACGCAATTCAGTGCCCTGGGTTGCTTTAGGTTCCATCCTGACTAGCCTCACCGTGCTGGAGACCAGGCCACAGACCACAGAGAGGCAACAGTAAGAAGAGGGACCCAGCATGTCCTAGCCACCAAGGAGCTCTCTGGCAGGGCCTCGGTCCAGAAAAGCTCAGGCTTCCATACAACTGCTGGGGTCCTGAGTCAGGCCTATCCCCACAGAGCCAGGACAGGGCAGACCCATGAGTGCTGTGTCCATCCAGACTACTGTAGAAAAAGCAGGGGGACCTGGGACCCTGACACAGAACTGTGTCACAGAAGAGTAGCGTTGTTGAGGTGCTTGCTCGTCTGTGGGTGGGTTAGTGGGAGCAAAAGCCAAGAGGTGTCTAACTGGGGCCCAAGAGCCGTGGGTTAGGACAGAAAGGACAAACAGAATCCCATCGAGTGAGGACAACAAAATGGACAGAGGAAAAGAAAAGTCCAGCGAAACTCAGTGGACTCAACCACAAACAGAGGAGTTCTGGCTGCTAGTTTGGTAATGTAACAGTTTTAGACGAACAAAAACCACCTCTGTTCCCCACCCCCACCCCCTAACTCTCCTGCAAGTCACAAGGTTTTCATGTAGTGAGAAAACAGAGGCTGTGGCTATCACCCTAAATGCTTCTGTTTCTAACACACATTATTACGTAGAAAGTGATCAGGAGTCACCACATCGCAGTGCAATAGCAAAAGATGTCACGTTTGGACTAGTGAACAGAGAACACTGTGCAACAGCCCGCAGCCACTGGAAAAGGCTTCATAGGAAGCCAGCAGGGACCTGAGAAGACACAGTTCTGCATGGACGCTTTAAGTCTGGCTGGTTAACTCAGTCAGTGTCAGTGAGGCTGACGGACTGGGTGCTGCTGGGCACAGACGGATGCACACTGCTTTATGTTGACTTGAGATACTTCTATTCTGGGTTCCCGGGCTGCAACCCAAGACTGGACCAAGTACAAGTTACATGCAACTGCAGGCCATATTTCAGAGGACAAATTCTCCCCAATACTGCTCAAGACAGTTAACTGTTATACTCTGCTTGCCAGAGGATTGCTTCTGTACATTCACAGATGCACAACTCAATTATATATTCATCAGAGTCTGCTCTATGCAGGTCTGGATGATGTCAATGAGTCATGCTCCACACACAATGATGGACTGCACTGGTCCCCTACAGCCTGGTACTAGCTGATAGGTTTGAGTCAACACACACTATGATGTCCACGCAACAGCACAGTGCATGGCGTGTGCATCCCTGGTGTAAGTGGCACATGACTGCAGACAGCTCTTGTGATTTAAGAACAGGAGAATCTAGCTAAACAAAAGGGCATCATTTTAGCTTATGAAATATTGCCAATTCAGAAGGTAAGGTCTGAAACAAAGCAGCCTGCTTTAAGGCAGGGAAAGCTGTGTGAATGTCTGTTTAGAGCAAAAGAGTCCTGATCATTAATATGGAAATCCACAATAAAAGTTTACTTGTGGTACACGTATGTCAACGTATTTAAATATTCATGACCCCAAACCCTGAATTTTATCCCGACAGAATCGCAGCTTAGCCCTTCCTCTAACATTCACTTAGTCTAATTCAGTTTTAGCAAACTTGTTTCTTCCCCCCCAGATCCATAATGATTTTTAAATTCAACACAAACACACTGGCAACTCATGGAAAAAAATTAAAAATGTTACAATATTTACAACCAGATGGTTTGCCAAGGAATGCAGAACAAATTAAAAACAAATAAATAAAGCATGAAGAAGAGCATCGAGGGACAACGAGCTGAAAACCATGGGCGGGCGGGGAACATGTTGACAAACAGCACACTATGAGCAGGTGTTTTTCCACTTGGTACCTGTCAGCAGTCTGTATGCTGGGCTGAAGCACAGGTAAGAATTCCTGCTGCAGTAACCCCATGGGAGGGCTAGAAGGCCTTTAAAAGACAGCAAACAGCAGCATTCAAACACCCACACCAGCTCACCCTGCACTGCAAAAACAACACTCCGGAGAGGATACACAGGACTGGAAAGCGGACTGTACAGAAACTTGAACCTCCACAAGCCCCTGGCCGTGCTGTCTTCAGGGGGACTGGGAGAAGCTGAGGGCCCCACCGCACCCGCTGCTGGTGCCAGTCTAGAGGCATCTTGGCTCCTGGTCCCAGAGCTCTTCCCACTTGTGATTTGGAGTATAAAGGCATCAGTGAGGAAGATGGAGGGAGACGAGAGGGTAGTGGGGAGGGGTAACATCCGAGAAGACAGGACTCAAAATCCAGCCTGCTTCCCTCACTCTTCTCCTGCCCTCGCCGGTCCCAGAAACACACCTGGGGACACTGGCTAGCCACCTTAGCAGGACTGAAGCCCCAGACTGAGAGGCCGCCCTTCAAAGAGGACTCAGAAGGGCTGGCAATGTTTTCAATAAAGAAAGGGTGTTTGAGATTTTGAGGAAAACAAGGCTGGGAGCCATGGTTTTGCAGAATTCTGTAATGAAGATTTAGTACATTAGCCCCGAGATTTCTTTCCATTTTGATCCAGTCTAGTGCAACTAATGGTTCTGTGGCTGTCGGCATGGAAACGGTTCTCTCATTGAACACACGTCAGAACAACATATCTACGGAACAAACGGAGACCTTCTGTCTCCTTTAGGCCTGGCACCAGGTGCCCAGTGTTTGTACTGTACCTGCTTGCATCCGAGATGCTACAACTAGGACGGACTCACAACCTTACCCCAAGGGGAGGAGAGGTACACTGCTCACAACATCTCTGCCACTCATCTGGAGGGACCACCCACAAGGTCTGCAATGGCTTCAGAGAATTTGTTTGGAACCCAAAGGGAAAAGGAATATAGATAGTTTTATTCAAGAGTCTAATCACACCTCAGTCAGTCAAATCTCTGTCTTACGCAGTTTGATTCTCTTGGCGTCATTTAGATAGAGGTTATCTGAAATACAGATTCAAATCCATGTTGAGACCCTCACAGAGAACATTCCTACAAGGTCAGGTCACTAGTTAACAATCCCTAATGCTTTTTCCAAGCTGAATCAACCATGGGTTTTTAGGAGGCTTATCTTCTACAGAAAGTTCAAGGAAGTTCAAGTTAGGTTGATCAAGGTGGGAGAGCCCTGGAAAGCAGGACAGATGCCTCCTTTCCAGTGCCATTATCTGGGCCAGCGATAGGTCCTCATTTTAAATTCCAAGTCCCAGGGACCATGAGCAAGTTAACACTATTCAAGTTAAGAAAATATGGACAAAGAAGAAAGGCCTAGTTACAGTGAAACCAGAGACCCAACTGCTGAGGACTGTAGATGCATTCCTTATATTGCCACAGACAGCCAAGCATTCTCTAAGTCATGCGGCAATCCTGTGCAGATTGACCCCTCTGTCGAAAGAGTTTGACTCTAAGACCATATGTATTATGACAGTTTGAATGGTCAGCTTTTAATGAACTAAAAAGCTGTCTTAAAGACATGTTTGTATAATCAATTTTGGGATCCAGAGGGTCCTATAGGAAACAGTTTACGTGTGTTTCCATTTATAGAAGCAATCTATTCTCACACATGGTTAACCACACTTGGAAGCATGCAGTTACTATTCTCCACGACTCTGGTTCATAGTCAAAGTAGTCGATGGAGAAGGGGAGAGGACAGTGTCTAGGACATCCTGATTAAGCAGCCTACAAAGGGCCTCTGATGCTCCTAAACACCACCTCAGTTCCTTAATGGAAATGTCTAAGATAAGCAATGTCACTTAGAAGATAGGGAGGGGATCTTGTGTTCTTTAGGGCAGATTCTGCTGGGCCCTCCTCTTGCTAAGGCATAATAAGGAAGGAATGCTCACCATGGACCAATTCCTGAGTTACAGAAATCCAATATAAGCATTTCTTACCTCGCTCCTCCAACACCCCTATGAGTCTACAAAGGCAGAGCAAAGTAAGGGCTATGGCTTTTAACAACTAAAAAACTTGCTTCTGCCAAAACTGAGGGATGACCGAGAAGATTTCCAGTCTCAGCAACACATTCTTCCTGCTCTGGGTTCAGTCTCTTGGCCTAACTCTGACACTGACTTACAGACACACTGACTATGAAGGAAGCGAAGAAGGAAGGGTACAAACTGCACATGGCACTCACAGGAGAGAGGCTCCATTAACCAAACTGCAATGAGGACTGAGGAGGATAGAAGCAAGGTTTATGAGCTATTTAAAAATCATGAATGGTCGCTAACTTGGTACTTCCATCTGAGACAACCTGGGGTTTCTGTAGTGTCCTACGGGCTAGGGGCACACCTGGAACCAAGCACATCCCCAGTCACTTTGGGGGGCAGGTGTGTTTTAGAGGCACTAGAACCAGCTAATTCACTTTGTGCTACACAAGCCACGAGGAAGGTCTTAGGACAGAGTTCTAAATAAAGTCTGTGCTTTCCCCCTAATCCAGTACAGCGTTAAGCATGGCTGCTTTCAATTAAAATCTCTGTATGCCTAACCAGAAATGAATACTAAATTTTGGAAAGGAAAAGGCATATAGAAAATTCTCTAATAAAGGATTTCAAAAGTAACAAAAACATCCCAATTTAAGCAACATTTTTTTTTCCCCAGAAGTGTAGCTAAGTTTTTAAAAGACACCTCGAATCAAGCAGCCCTTCTAAAACAGAGACCAGGTTTGGATTCCTTTCCATTAAATTTCTGAAAGGTACAGAAATTTACAAATAAATCATGCAAGCACATGAAAGGGGAGCATACAGCATCGAGCCACAAAAGAGCATCTGCTTACTTGATCAGCATTCCTTGATTGGGGAGTAATTCCAGGTGAATCTTCCCTCCTTCCTGGGTTCTTAAATAAGCAAACTCCTCCAGCATGTCAATGTCTTCGGCCACATTCAGGTCAACCAACAAGTAACAAGTTGCCCTGTTCTCCCAGGTGAGGAAACAGGCTCTCGGCAGGTGAAGAACCTGGCTACTGCTCTCCGGCTAACAACCAGTCAGTTCTTGAACCAGGTACTGATCTTTACACTAACAACCTGCCCTGTAAAAAGAACTCTCTGCACGAGTTCCATGAGTTCCATCCACAGCGGGGATGGCTGTGTAACTCAGTGGCATCAATCTCCAGGCCCATCGGACTGAAAAGCATTAGCACATGGCTTTCCTACGGAGATAATTAAACAGATTCTACATGGCCGTAAGAGAAATTTCTTAGTAAGAAATCAGAACTAGGAGGAGTGGAGAGGATGGTCTGGCTGACAGGATATGAATCATAAAAAGAAAGATTATTTCTTCACACCCAGCAGACAAGGTCTTTCAGATGCTTCAAGAAAGGTAGTGTCTGAGAACTCAGAAAATTCCATATGAAATGTTAGATGATGCATCCTTCTGGGGGAAAGTTTTATAACTTTCATTAACCTTAAAAAAAAAAAATCACTGCTCAGGCACTGGGATATATATAGTACATGTATCCTGAAAATTGAGAGGATGTATTATGAGAGGCAATAAAATGAAAGCCACCAAACTGGGGTGTACCCTCAATTCAAAGGTGGTCTGCCCCTTACAAACATGTGAAGTCAGGTGCTGCCCACCTCACAAAGCACCTCTGCCTCCTTAGCATAACTAAGGAGCAGCTGGGATGGCGCAGGCCCAGTGCTAAGAACTGACCCCGGGGGCAGCCTCTGTCCAAGGAGAGGCCACAGGGGACACTCTTTCCATAGACAAAGGCCAAGGAACTATGGTAGTCTGTGCTAAACCAACTGCTCTGGGCTTGGCAAGAACTTGTAGGCTATTCTCACTGGAAGCTTCCAGGCTGCCTTCTTGGAAGTCAACTAGAAGGGAACGACAGCCCTGATTCCTTGAACTCTGAAACGTCACTGACTTTCACAAAGCAACTGCCACAGCTCATTTCTGGTGCTCAGTCCTCCTCCTTTCCCCACAAACAGGAAAAGCAGTATCTCTACTAGAATGGTTCATCCTGTAGGATGCACTTGTGCTAAACATTCAGAAGTGATTGTGCTTCATCCAGAGAAAGGATACTTGTAACATAGCTGAAGAAGTTCTCATACTGGAAATTTCCTTGCTGGCAAATCTTACTGATGGCTTTCAGGAAAAGGTTCTCTCCCCGCGGCCACTCCTGCTGGAGAAGTACAATCACATGGCCCAGCGCCATGTCATCTCTGTTGTCCGTAAAAGCTCTCAGCTGTAAGACAAAGTTTTATGCAGAAGAAATAAATCTAGGAAATCTAGGGCATACCAACTATCACTTCCAAAGAGGGGCTCCACATGTCAGTATAATCTATACATCATCATCATTAAGACAACCAAACTGTTGGTGAACACCACACCCTTCTGAGGAGGGTGGATTCTGGGGAAGCTCCCGGTTCCCTCTGAGGGCTCGGCACATGAGGCTGACAAGTCTTTAAACCAGAGCTGGACATGAATAGGTGAGCTGGGAGTTTTTGAGTTTGAGAATCAGGGATAAAGTTGAGTATTCCTACACAGTGAAAAGAATAAATAGGAACTTCTTGTTATTTTATTTTTTTCTGTTCTATTCATCAGAGACAGGGTCCCCTGAATCAAAGGTCTGCCCTACATTTGTTAGATAGCTGAGGATATTCTTGATCTTGTGATCTTTCCACCCCTCCCTCCCAAGTGCTGGGATTATAGGTATGTATCACCATGCCCAGTTTATGCCATCCTGGGAATTGAACCCAGGGCTCGTGGGTGCTGGGTAAGCACCCCCCCAAACAGGCCACTTTCCCCCCCTTTTGGGTAATTTTTTTTTTTTTTTTTTTTTTTTTGGTTTTTCGAGACAGGGTTTCTCTGTGTAGCTTTGCTCCTTTCCTGGAACTCACTCTATAGACCAGGCTGGCCTCAAACTCACAGAGATCGGCCTGGCTCTGCCTCCCGAGTGCTGGGATTAAAGGCGTGCGCCACCACCGCCCGGCTTAGTGATATCTTTTAGGAAACAACTGTGAGTGGAAAGATGGGCAAGAAGCCGTAACATAGGGGCTTAAGAAGATGGTGCTGGGAAGGAAAGCCAGCAAGCAATAGGTGTGAACTACAGGAAAGGCTAAAGGTCTGGTTTGCAATGGACAGATGCCCAAAACCACACTTCAGATGGCTTCTTCGATGCCAGCAGCTCTAGCGCTCAGGTTAGTGTGGGACCATTGCATAAAGCGGTACCCAGCACCGTTACCTTTTGCACACAAGCCTAATGAAACAGCGACAAGCCCACCCCAGGGCTCTACTCTACTCCACTGCAGCCAAGGCTTGCGGTGTCAAGAGTCTCGGAAGCTTCCCGGTACTACTGGGCCTTTGCTGGTGCTGACCCTCATGTCTAAAAGAATTAATTCCTCATACACTTATGACCCCAATATTTATATTGCCTTCTTCTGTAGCTAATACATTCTGACATACACAATGTCAAAAATCGTTTTTACAGCCATAACAGGCATGGGAATGTCTGTCCTCCTTACTACTTACTACCCATATCCTTCTCAAGGATGGGTCTTATTTCCTATTCACCTTTGCCTAGTGCAGCTGAACTAAAAACAATCAAACAAACAAACAAAAAATCAAAAACCAAAAACCAAAAGAACACTTGTTAATTCCTAGCCCACCGAATTTTCCCACCTGTCTGGTAAAGTACAAAACAGTTGTGAATAAAGCTCTTAAGTCATGCCGTCTCATCAGGACATATTTCAGAGGGAATGTGCTTCCTGCTAATCCCATGTTAAGCTCACCTTAAAGCATGCTAGCATCAAGTGCAGGCAGTACGGCATAATAGCCTTACTGGTACAGGGCAGAAGCTTCAGATCCAAACCTAACAGAAGGCCAGACTGTTAGTGACTGTTACCATCAACGAGAACAGCTTTGACAAACAAATGTTCCGCTTGCTTCCTCAGGAAGATAAACACGTGTCAGAATGCGTGACACAGCAGACAATCATATTGGTGATGACATTGGCTTTTGGTCTCTAGATTTCATTTCTCAATTTTCTTTCCTATCTTACTAGATAATTATTATACAATATTTCAAATATGTAGAATATTATACAGAGGGAATCTCACAAACCCAGGTGCTTGTCCCTCAGCTTCTGTGTGTGTGTACATATCTAGCCTGTATGTACACATGGGCATCGCATGCACAGCACCTGTAGAGGTAAGAGGGTCTTAGATCCCCTGGAGTTGGAGTTACAGATGATTATGAGCTGCCATGTGGGTGTTGGGAACCTAACCCAGACCATCTGTAAGACGCTGAGCCATCTTTCCAGCCCTGTCCCTCAGTTTTACAAAATGCTAACATCTGGCTTTAATTTTTAAAGATGTTAGCACAAATCATCACAAAACCAGTAGAAGATCCTTAGAGTGTCCTGATGGCATCCTCTTCTCCTGCCCCAGGACAGACACAATTCTGAGCGTGGTGATGGTCACTCCTATGCAGGCTGCATGCTACCATCACAGGTGCTTGTATTTACAAACAACACACAGAAATGTCTGGCATGCTTTCAGTCTACTATGTCAAATGGTGCCATAACGGATGTATCCTCTGCTAACTGACTTTTGTCCTCCACCTTCTGAGTTTCAGGTTTGTCAAAAATACATGAAGCTCTAGACAAGGAATTTCCAAGATTACATGGTATCCTAATCACCAATATGATTGTCTGCTGTGTCACGCATTCTGACAAATGAGATTTCTGATTTTTCACTTTAAACACGATGTTTTATCAAACATGTTTACACATGACTTCATGTGTACTTGTAGAAAAAACTTTAAGCGATGACTTCCAAACTAAGATGTCAATCTTTTTCTTCATGGCCTGTGTTCTTCATATCTTAAATCTTCCTCTCGGCAGAGGCAAGAAGTAGCAAGAAATAAAAGCCTTTTTATATGGGTCCTCCTCAACACACTGTACATCTAAAATGAAATGTTCGATTACTTTCAGTATCTGTCCTTCGTACCTGAAGTACAAGAATATTCCGTTCCATGCAAAAGGACATTTCTGTCTGGAAGTCAGGACGCAGTGGGCAAAGGCCCAGTTCGGAAAGGCAGTGGCTAGGGGAGGAGGCACAGCCGGGTAATGGGGTACTCGCTCTTCCTGACAATGCTGACGACTTCTACACATTTACTCACTTTCAGAAGCACAGGAACGGTCTGCTCCTTCGCCCTCACTCAGGACCACTGCTCAACAACTGCGCTTTCTGCAGTCTGTGCTTGTTTTTGTTTTTTTAATACCAAATTTAATATTCTTTTGTTCTAATAAAAGGTTTCTATTTCGTTTTGTGTCTTTTTTTATAAGTTGTGCTTATCAAAAAATTTCCCACTGCATCTAATTTTTTAAAAATTCTTGACATAAAGTTGTTCTCTTATTGTCCTTTTGACATAACCAAGATTTGTTGTGGTATACCTTTTCATGCCTGATATTGAAATTTGTGGCCACCGTCTTCTGGATCAAGCTCATTAGGATTTTATTAATTTTATGCATATTTTCACAGAAATAACCTTTGGTTTTTATTCATTTTTTCCTATTGTGTTGATTCTGCTCTAATTACCATTATTTCTCTCTCCTACTAGCTTCATATTTATATGAATATCTATTTCTAAGTCTTAGGTGGAAATTTAGATTATTAGCTATGCGTTAGTTTTTCCAAGCAATGTGGAATCAGGTGAAGCTCAAAATGGCCCCAGGGGAATATGATGACAGGGGACATACTGATGGGTCTCTTGTTTCCCTAGTGCTAGGGAAAACAGGGAAGATGTTCTTCAGAGACAACAAACTCATGAAGTGGAACTCAGGGTTTGGAAAAGATGCAGATTTACTTAGGAACACAGCCTGGAGAGGGAGCAGTTTTCCACAGCGCACAGTGGTATGACCTCACTAGGAACTGTGACATCTTAGTCACAGGTCCTACAACTCCTGTGACAAGGAACAAGACTTCACGTACCTTTCCTAAACTTGGGCTTCACTTTGGAGGGCTCTTCCTGCGATTTCCCTCCATCTTGTATGGGTAGCACCATGTAGCACATCAGGTCCAGAACCTTCTCACATGTCATCTACAGGAGAGAAGACCACAGGACTAATGTGAAGCTCTGAACGGCAGCTGTCTACAGCAGAGAAGCAGACAGTGTGTGTGCAGAGGGCTGTATTCCTATGACCATCGCTGAGCACTCCAAGTGAACACAGGGAAAGGCACGGTCAGATTAAGTCTATGAAAAAGAGGGAACAAAAATCTATTCTTCACTGTTAGAAACTACCACGAATTTGTATACACTAATAAACATACACAGTGCCTATCTTTAAACCACACAGCAAATTCAAAGACAGTCTGGGATACATGAGACCTTGTCTCAAAAAAGAGAAGAATAAGGAAATAGTACTGACGCCCAATTTCAGGGAAGTTACACTCCAGAAACATTAAGTAAAACAAGATCATTGTGTTTTTCAGCAGCAAATTAAGTAACAGATCCAAGTGGTAAGGTCAATCAAGGAAGTGTGCCCTGACTTGAAAAATCACTACAGGAACGAGATATCCCAGGGTGCCATGCAGCCTTTGGGAACGCCATGTGAACCACCTAGTACTCACTCTGCATTCCCCCAGTACAAACCCAGTACTCACTCTATACTCCCCCAGCGCAAAGTGACAGGTTGCCAGCTGGATGAGCGCCCTCTGGTGTTCTAAAGTCCCCTGTCCTGTGATCTGCGGCTGAGAAAGGGATCCTTGGAGAGCTGCTAAGTGATGCAGACTGGCTATTGCCTTCTTATATTGACCCTTGGAAAGACACAAAGGCAAAGATGGAAAAGATGGACATTAAAATACACACACACACACACACACACACACACACACACACACCACAGAATCTCTGTCACTTTGGATATTCCGTTTCCATAGAACCCGCTCGGTACTTGTGAAGGACAGAAGCAGCCCGCTGTCCCCGTCTGCATCTTGGTGGCAACTGTCTGCTCTCCCCATTCTGGCAGCTACAGAACAGTGCGCATGCCGGAGGGCAGCGGGGCAGAGGGAAGGGGGCCAGGAAGGTCTTCTACTGAAGGAATGCTGCTGCTGTAGGCAGGCCCTACTCGGACAGACAAACACTACACGCTCTCACATGTGGATCCAGGCTCGAATGTTTCTATGTGGGTACAACTGTAGGCAGACGTCATGAGACTAGAGAGGGGACCACAAGTGAGGAAGAAAAGGAGAGCTGGGGAAGGGAGGGTAACAGACTTTTATGATGGCAGAGGCAGAGACTGCTGGAGGCGGAAGAGACAAAAGGGAGCTGGTGGATGTGGAGGATCAACCAAAGCAAATTCTACTGAAATGCCATAGGCAACCTAATATTCTGTATGGTAATTTAAAGTGGACAATATTAATTAAGAAAACTGTCTTTAATGTGCAAGAGGGCAGAGATAAATCAGGGTGTGTGGGGGCCTTACTTCTCTACACAGGGAAAAGCAGGAACATGACTGGGCACACTGACAGTCACCAAGAAAGTGAGACCCTTGGGGATGAAAGTGGACCTTAATCTCACAACCACAGAATACTCCCAGATGTGGACAGGCAGTGGACTAGCCCCCAAGGAGCACAACACTTCTTATGCTAAGACCAGTTTGCAACAATGCCACCCTGCAGCTGGAAGTGCCTGTCACAGTACCTGGTAGATGATCATATCTGTGAGGAAGATTCTTAGCCACAGCCATGTGTCCGTCTTCCAAGCCAAACAAATTCTTGTAAATTCTGTGTGAGAATTTGAAAGTAAATTCACTCCAAACTGGTGAACACAGAGGCAACAAAGGGGAAAACACACACACTAAAAAGCGATGGTGACCTTCACCGGGGCTCTAGGCTTTCTGGTAGGGCAGCAAAGCCAGGGACGCTCATCACTGATACGTCAGGATTCTTTTTTCACAGTTTATTATTTTAGGTATGATGTGCCCTGTGGCGCAGGTGTGGAGGTCAGAGCACAACCCAGCAGGGTTCTCTCCTCCCACCACGTGAGCCCCACCCAGGTCATCAGGCCTGTGGGCAAGTGCCTTTACTCACTGAGCCATCCCACCAGCCCACGAGAAGGATTTTTATACACCGACATTTGTAAGCATGTATTATATGCCAAGAACTACACTTTCCATGAGTTACTCCATGTATCTTGTTTTGTTTTTTTTTTTTTTTTTTTG